TTCGCGTCTTCGTGATCTAGGTATTGCGTGTACGTGTGCGTGTTACTCTACCATAATAGCTAGGGTTTCCAAGCCGTGCAGTTGCGGACCACAACCCCGCAGAATAACCATCTATGCTTTCTCAACTAGGGTGATCACCTGTACTTCTTCCTTCACTCCTCAGAAGAAACCCCTTCTTCTAGATTCGATGATCACTGCACATGAGAAGTGGGTATTCTACGATCACACTGTTAGGAATCGACAGTGTGTTATCAAAGGACAAGCAGAACACGTCCCAAACGCCGACCGTCGCTCAAGAAGGTTCTAATGTCCTGCTGTTGGTCCAAAAGAGACATGAAGCCTTGGAAGCTGCTAGAAAAGGAATAAGCGATTAACGCTACCAAATACGTCGCGCAGCTCCTAAAAGTAGAAGCTCACGTCGATCGTACGCGCGGATCAAAGGCGGTATTCCACATCCACACGACTATTTGAGGCCTCACGGCCTGCTAGGGCGACAGAGGCGGGGCTGAAAAAGTACGGAAGGAGCGAGGTAAGCGCTGTAAGGAACCTAGAGCCTCTAGGCTCCTTACAGCGCTGACCTCGCTCCTTCCGATTAATGGATATTCTTCCTGAGCAGCGCTCCCAGAACGGAAAACAGTTCGAAACGAAAAATGAAACCAGAAGGGCACTTGACGTCTTCTTCAATCACAGCTTCAGTCCTTATGGGGGAATGGAGTAGTGGATGGCGATGGTGCATACTCCGATTTTTAGGTCAATTCGCTTTTGGGTTATTTACGAAATAAAATCGTGGTGAGAATCTTATGAATCAACGTGATAGAATCTATACAAAATGGACAAACGATGAAAATTGCTTATTTCTTCACGAACCATAAAGAGCATGAAAAATGGACAAAGGCTACCAGAAAAGATCCGAAAAAATACATTCATAATGGGTGAGGTCATCGAAGCGCACGGGGCCTTCGTGAAAGGCGTGACCTAGTTTTAATGAGCCCATAGACTGGGAGAAAGTGAGGAAATAACAGTAAAAGACAGGATATGAGAGAAAGAAGAATGTCCACCCACCAGTTGAGCTTTAGCGTTGAGCCACGCGCAAAGTTCTTTAATGCTTGCATTAAAGAACTTTGGACTGCACAATAAATTCCAAGCTTAGCTCCGCTCACTTCCATATAGGCCACCATGAAGATTACTGACCATGCTCCCCTCAACAACCTCCAAACACTATTTCCGGAGGCTAAAACATTTTTGAACAGAGCTATGAATTTTCAACCATAGCTCCGCACACTATGAAGATTTCTCCCTTTTGAGCACTCTACATACCTATAACCAGTCGGTCCGCCCGGCTAGCGCCGGGCTTCCCTCCTTCTTATGGGTTCGCCCGGCTACGCCGGGCGCTCCTCCTTCCTGTGAGAAACTTGCTATGCGTAAATAACACTTCGGATGCTCCTTTTTCTTTGAAAGCTCTCTACCCTCAGTATTAGCTCCGAAACGGGAGCGATTTTTTCTGTAAGCCATCCTCGCTGTGTCCGAATAGAACATCGCATAATATCAGAAAAGGCGATTATTCAGAGAAAAAAGTATTCAGAGACTTCATCGCGGCTCAATCTACTATGTTAGCTACCATCAATGTTCCCAGCCGATTCCTTGTGCCTTCAAGTTTCAACGGTCTGGGTCCGAACGATCAGTATTTATTACCGCCCTGCCCTTTGGGGCGGAGTTTAGTCCTGCACCCTATCATCAGCGTACCTATCCCTTCCTACCAAGTCGCTCTAGGTCCATTTTGACATTACTCTGCAAGCCCCGCCTCCTGTGCGCGGAGTCCGGTCCTGCTACCCATCATAAATGTTCACATCCTGCCGCCTGTTCTCCTAACAATTTTGAGCACACTAGGTCCACGGGACAGGATACATGAGTCCTCGCCCAAACCCCGCCCTCTAAGGGCGGAGTCTAGTCCTGCTGCTCACCATGAATGTTCCTATCATGTCGCCTGTACTCCTACCAAATTTGAACGCTCTAGGAGCACGGGAACAGAAGTTATGAATTTTTGCTCAAACTCCGCCCATTATGGGCGGGAACACTAATGGTGGGCTTCCTGCCGAACACCATTGGTGTCCCACCCTGGACTCCTACCAAACTTGAACGCTCTAGGTGCATAGGAACAGAAGTTCTGAATTTCCGCTTTGAAATTTATTCAGCGCAAACCCCGCCCCCTATGCGCGGAGTCCGGTCCTGCTACCCACCATAAGTGTTCCCATCCTGCCGCCTGTACTCCTACCAAATTTGAACGCTTGAGGTCCACGGGGACAGGAGTTATGAATTCCCGGTCAGACACACACACATACACACACAAACACACCGACACACCAACAGAAACACTTAGCCGATTATATAAGTAGGATAACTACACAACACTTTTTCCCTGTTCTAGAACGATCTTAAACAGTGGTATGAATGTTCGTGAGAAGCGCCTACCAATTGAGCGCACACAAGCCCATCGTAGGCAGAGCTTTGCTTAGGTTGATCTTTGATCCACAGACCTTCCTTCTCAACTTTTTTCAAGCGCCACACTTGGGCTTAATCGAATAATGAAATCATTTAGCACGCCCCGCCAAAATCACACTTAGCACATTTTGTGCAAGAACGGACAAATCGAAATATCTTCACGCTGATATGCAAAGATAGTGATCACTAATAAACTGATTCCCTCATCGAGAACGAGACACTCTGATTTCCTGGGTTCACCATCAACAGCATGATCCCTAGAAGTTCGCTACCCAGTCGAGTGACTTAAGACAACCAAACTAATACACAACGTTCAGAACCAAAAAAAACTATCCGATTATGGCGAAGTACACTGCGCTCAGGTGATACAGCGCTACCTACGAATCTCTTTAAACCTCATGTTCCAGTGAAATTCAGAAAGTCTCAGTATGGAAGCTGTGCCCTATTCGAACCGTAACTTGTAGGCCAACAGCAAGTTCCTTCTCAAGAACATGGACAATTACCCTACTTTTTTCCGGAAAGGTCACTTTTCCTCTGTTCAAAAATGATACAGCCACTAACCAAATCAATTTAATCTGCAGCTGAATGACAACAAAGAGAGGAAGGATGTGCGACTACTAATCAATTAGCTCACCTTCAAATTACTCCAAAAATACAACTGCTCTTGCTGAAGTGAAGGCTCTCAATGAGTTTCTGGGCAACGTGGAGCCATGCATCGATAATTGCTTCCTTCAGCTCACTAGGTCCTCCAAAGTGCTTGTTTTCTTCATAAATCTTCCTTACCATGAATAATAATGCGTTTTCCATTGTACTCAAGTAAGGACATGCCATGGCAAAAGGTCGGTTTGGCTCCGACCAGTAAAGGCAAGGGTGGCGTGAATCGTCGAGGCATTATCCTGTATGAATACGAGGCTCTGCTACCGATTTTGACGCCAAAAGGGAAAAAGCACGGCGCATCACGACTCGATGACCGGCAATGTTGAGCCTCTTCGAAACAAATTATAAGGGAAGACGTCTACGAGAAGAAATTGCTGTCCATCTCATGATGTCCCCTTGAAATTTCGTCTAGAAAACTGAAGCTTATCCTTTCTAAGATCGTACCAGTAGAACTGGTTGCCACCAGGGCCGTTACAGAAAAAAAAACAATTTGGAGAACGAAATATCAGGAAAAGGGAGGATAAACGAAAAAATATGAAAGGCACTTTACTCTAATCAGTGTCGCTGCAATTAAAGGCACTGTTCACGAAAAAATGGTCTCGGAAACTTGCTCATGGTTTGAATTCGACGCCCCCTCTGATACCATTTGTGCAGGAATGAGGTCGGAAATGGTCTGGATAGGGCACAATAAGGGGCCAGAGAGTGAGCCACGGTCGCCCTCCGCCCCTCGCTATGCTGACTACGAGANCTAATTGCCGTTCACCACCTTCACGTTGGAGCGAAGTTGGTGAAAAATCCATAAGGTGGTTGGCAAATAGCCAGTCTGCCAGTCAGATTGTCAGGCAAATTGGGTGTGTTGTCTGCTATTGCAGACATTGCGTCGCCTTCGTGCACTCGCCCGAACACTCCCTTAACCCCGTTCTTCCAATGTGAAACTCGTCCGACCCCCCTTTCCAGCTCTTTTTTGACCCTTTCTATCTCTTTTTGTTCATCGTTTTTTGCGCTTTTTTTGTTGTTATCGCTTTATTCTAGAGTAGGTCTATGAATTCCCGTCAAAAAAGTGTACCCTAAATTTATCGTAAACGGTGCCTTCAAGGAAAAGCAACCCGGGTATCGCGATTCTTTTCAGTCATGGAGGGTGTCTCTCTCATTTCCGCCCTACGATTAACGCAGAATTTTTGATAACGTTCCAAACAGTAATCCCCGATACATTGAGCTTCAAATAGGACTCGAATCCCGTGCATGACTTAGTCGCAGCCGACGCCTCTTCTTGAATCCTTAGCTTGCCTCTTTCCAAAAGTAACTAAGTACGTCCCTTACTCTTTTTATCTCATACTCTGCGATTCCCTGAAAAATTGTCGAAAACTGCGTGGTATCGTCCCAAACCTCGAGTGATTCTACGATTTAACGGTCATTGTTCCTCTTCTGCAAGAATTTGACCTTTCTCGAAATCGGGATGGCAACTTTACTAATTGTTTGAAATTGGCAAGCATTACACAAATAAAGCAGTTGTGTGAGAGAACAGGGACCACACGTAAAAAAGAAAGCGACGGGAGAATACAAGGTGGCTGTATCATTTTCGAACATAGGCAGGGTAACCTCTCTGAAAGGAAAAAAATGAAGGGGAAGATTGTCAAGCCACAGCCCAATTGAGACACACATTCCATATTGAGCGCTTCAAATGTCCTGGAACGTGAGTTTTGATGAAATTCAAAGGTGACTGTATCACTATTGAACGCAGTGTAGTAAAGAGTTATTGAGGAGTGAATAACTTGCAACCATTTGTAAGACTATCATCAGCAAGATGGAAAACATTCTAAGAAAACAGCCAACGATAACGAACTTTACGTAACTAACCTGATTTGATCATTTAGCGTGCCACCAAATTTAGCATTTGATACTGTTCCCCAAATCCTGTGCAAAAAACCTGCATGTTCATCTCTTCCTGCAATAGACTTAATCATGGACACCGCGGTGAAAAAGCGTTCAATAGTAAAACAATAACCTCGTGAGAATGCGCTGAGAGCAAGCTCTTTCTCATGTTGCGCAACTTTACGTTTTTTTATAGCAATCATTTCCATGGTATGCATTAATTTCTTTTCCATTTGAGAAATCGCATGCTGGTCTACCTATAACAGTTACAAAACAGCATCAGCTGTAATGAATCCTCAACTAGAGGATTATGATTAAAGCAAAAGAAAATTGGCAAATAAACTCTACCTTTCTCATGAACACTGTCATATAGACATAAGGGGCATTAACAGCTCCAAAACCAGAAAGAACAGCCATCACAGTGACTCCGATCACACCGATCCGAGAAATGGCTTGTTCGATGGTAAAAATTCCTGCAGAGAGGGAGAGCAGATTCGAGTACTCAGAGAAAATCACTAGATCGTCCAATAAACACTACTCTTTTGAACAAGTATAATTCACAAGTTTTTGCAAACAGTGGTTCCTACATCAAAACAGCATATCAATTACCCATAATACTATCTGATCTGCTGTGCTCCTTCGCCTACATGAACAATTCTATTTCGTTATTCTTAGGACGTCTTTTTCAGCACCAGAAAATTCCAAAATTTGACAAATTCGAACTTCCCAGCAACGTTGATATTCTTGGCCTGCTGGGCTCATTTGCGGGGGCAGCCTGCATCGTGGTACCGACTTGCAATATTCCCTATTCGCACTAAAATTTTCTCACTTTTCTGTCCTAGTGTCACCTGATCTGCTCACCGTGACTCAAGAGCGACCTTACCTTTTCAAGGGTCACCATCCAGGACAAATAACTCAGACCTTATTTCTGTGGCTCAGAGGCGCTTGCAGGGGGAGGTGCCCGACTAAATTCGTTTGATCAGATTTTGTTGCCTGAGTAATCCCCATTCCACAATGAAACTACAAAAGTCTGCATCGGAGGAAACAAATTCGCAGAACTGTATTGAGAAGGCGACTGTATTACTGCTCAAGAAGCTACAATACCAAGCCATGGGTATGATGAGGCTGGCCCCTTCGCGCTGCAGACAGAATCGCAGGAAGAATTGAAAAAGTTATACCGGGAATTGCGCGCGAGTAGCGTTCTTTGCATGTCGATAATGCAGTACACAATGCAGAACTCAGCAAGTACTTGATACTTTCCGCGAGAAATTGCCTCAAGAGTTATAGTAACTGTAAAGTTCGTCTACTGTAGCGATCAGAAACTTTTGCTAGTGGTTCATATCATTCATATGTAGGTGATTCTCTACCAGCAAAATGAAATGCAACGGTCCATTGTTATTTCATTTTTTTATCATTTCATGTATTCACAGAGGTGCGCTACAGCAACAGGATCGGGTCGACGCCCGACAGCGGTGATGTCGTTCCCGAGGTAGGTCAGGGGGGTCATCAAGAAGTGACACTTGTCGGTGCGTGACGCGGCTTCCAGGTTCGAGGGTGCGGCCGGTGGCGATGAGGTCGTCGAGGGAGGCAGCAACGCTCTTGAATCCAGAATTCATGGAGTCGATAATCTGCTGGAAGATGCTAGGTGCTGATTTGACTCCAACCTCAAGCGATTCTAGCGGTAGATGCGCGTTGATTGTGAGGAGCTATTTGGAGTCGTGGACATCGACTTGTAGATACAGGCCGCGTCGGCGAAGTCGAACTGAGAGAAGACGTTTCCGCCATTGAGCTTGATGAAGAGATCCTCTGGGGTGGGTAGTGGATGCCGGTGCAACAGTAGTGCGACGTTGAGTCCAGTCGAGAAGTTGGCGCAAAGTTGAATGGATCGCCTTGGTTTTGGTACAGCGTTCAAGTTCCGGCTTAAAGACATCCGTGAAGTGGAGCTTCAGCTTAGCAATCGTCCTGTCTCGGATTGCGTCGAGCGTCTGCACCTTCTGGATATTAAATCTTTTCAGGACCGAGATGAAGTTCGAGATTTCGATCCATTTAATGCAAGAAGGTCGTTGTCATCGGAGACGTAGCAAACGCAATGACGTAGCAATGAATTGGCAATGGTTAACCATTGGCTCCCTTGAGGACATCAGTAGACGCGGGCTTCCGAGTTGCATCCAGATGGACGAGAGGTGATGCTAACGTCAGCACCGGCGTCCAACAGACGGCGGGTGGAATGTCCATTAATGTGAAATTTCAGGTACTTTTGAACATCTCCAAAGCGGCCGATGACGCGTTAGTGCAGTGGCCCAATCCCTGACACATGACTGACGCTGGTAGCGTTGCGGTTTTGCGGGCAACCCCTCTTCTAATGTTGCTGTTGGCAGATCGGACACGGTGATGGTGGCACTCGAGGCTTGTTTGCGACAGAAAGACTTTGTTTTCCTCTTCTGTACAGTGCGAATTTTCGGCGAGTTGGCGGCTTCAACGATTTTGAAGTCATCTTTGACCGATTTCAGGCGTGATACTCCTTGGCTAGATCGTCGACAGTAGTCCTCTCATCCTCGTCCAGCTTGTGAATTGAGCAAGCGTAGCGTAGTTGGCAGCTCCGGAGCCAGTAAAGGCAAGTACCAGGGCTAGGCATTCCAGCGTATCCTGCCTGACATCCTTGAAGGTAGCTTCCAGAACGCGAGCCTAGAGTAGTTTGACGAAGTTGTAAATGTCTTCGTTGGGCGAGAATTCATCCGTAAACATTCGAAACGGCATCGAAAAACGCTTTTCTTGGTGCCGAATGGCGTCTTCAGCGCTTATTCAGCGTATCCGTCCAGTTCAAGTCTCTTGGCTCTTATTGGTTAGGGCAGGATGTGGCGAGCGAGCGAGTGTGGCTTGAAGCGCCTAGGGCAGAGATCAGCAAGCGTGTCTCCTTCGTTTCTTCGATCCCTTGACAGCCGACTTCGAAGATCTTTTGTGCCGGTCGAGCCGTAGGTCGAAGCAATCGTCTTGGTCAGCATCGTAGGAGACTTTCCCGATCCTCTTCGAAAGAAGAGAAACCATGAATATAAATGAACAACAAAGTTACTCTCTATATGTATACTGCTCCGGCCCACCAGATGTGGTCAACGGGCAGATCAGTACAATACAAGATCAATTAACCCCCCCCCCACTTCTCCAATCTCCTCCATATTAAGTTGATCTGCTCTCATTTTCATACTTTTAGTCAATCGAACGGCATCTTGTATGGGACGACTTGGTAAGCATCCGAACACAACAAAACATACCATGTTTTGCACTCAAGATAGGGAAGGGATCGCCGATTTTCCAAAAGAAATAGATGAAAACAATCCACAAGAGGGTCGTTAACGGTGTCAGGAGCCGTTGTCTTACTGAAATCAGGATTAAAATTAACATGTTCATCTATGAGAGCCTTTTGTAGAGGTCATGCCAAACTCACAGAAGCTAAAGCTCTTTAAAAGTGTGTATGCCATGTAAAGTGGGAGGGCTACAATCAAAGTGATAAGAATAGCAGAGAGACACAACTTCCAAGAGGCAAAACGCGATCTGAAACTGGCTTTCGTCTTCCGTAAAGCAAAGAAAACTGAAGCTGCTCGATACCTCAATAGTCATACGATCAATTAAATACCGGTCAAGTACGAAAGACTTTGAAAAAAGACATAACATCGTTTACAGCTCGGCTGCCTCTCGAGCAACTCTGTGTAGTGTCTGTGTAACCAATGGCTCAGCCGAGTCCCTTCTTTTCAACCACTTATTGTTAACCCATCCTTCAGAAAGAGGGGCAAAAAACAGCTGCTAGTACCATGCTGTGCTGAATACGATGAGTAACCAAAGTTAAAGGTGAGTCTACCGAAACTCCGACCATATGGAAAATCCGTTAACTTATACACTCTGATGAACTCTGATGAGTAACGTTCTCATTCGGCCTATGTAACCCCTGAAAACTTCAACCAGTATTTCAACACCTATTGCTTTCTTTTATAAGGATTTGCTGATAAAATACTATTTATAAGGGACAACATAAGCCTTATGACAGAAAGTCTTAAGTTTGAAAATGCGCTGGAAGTATCGTTATAAAATATGGAGGAAAGCACATGTCGTGTATCAATCAATCGTGTATCAATCAATTGACGAAAGTTACCAAAATAAGCATAAAAACGCAAAACCTCTCTTTGAAAGCACTTACTCGAAGTCCATTACGTCCATAATCTCAAAAATTATAAGCTCGAACATTGTACAAGACAATGCAAAAGTTATAGAAAAAACAAGTTGCACGACTCTGAAAGCAGAGGCATAATGCATTTACAAATGATATCCGATTACTTCACTTGTAAATTTGGGAATATTTCTACTTGAAGTTTTCATAGAAGAAGGGATTTGATCTCTTAGTCCGCCTAGTTATCTCTAGCATCCCCTGCAGCTCCTTACAGAAACGAAAATTCTGTACGGACACCCGCCTCTTACAGTAAACCGGCACGGCACTTCGTTGCGTCTGTGCTTTTGCACGTAGCCTTCTGTTGACAACATTGGACGCCCATAGATCGCGTACCAGTATTGTCAACAAGTGGCTGGCGCCGCTGTCGCTCGCACGCACGCGATGGACGGACGGACGCACGCCGGTTGAATGTTGAAGTCTGAGCCATTTTGATGCGCAAATCCTCACCCGTCACATACACGACGCGCCGAAAAGGGGCCTTCGGCAAGGACACGGGTGGAAGGTGCGGTAGCCAGGGAGATTCTGTAAGAACCGAGTACCCCCACTGATTTTTCGTTTCTGTCAGCTTCCTAGAAATATGGGCTCTCTTGTTCTTTGCCACAAAGTATACGAAAAATAAATCCCAAATCTAAAAAAAAACATTAGTGTTATCCCCGAAGCGAGTGAGTTAACGCATGTGCGCTTTTGCAACATGCAATGGCGTTCCTCACCAGAAGGAAAATTTGTAACGAATCGAAATTTCGCAGCGGCTCAACAGTAACATGACGCCATCGGTTGAACAACTCTTTAAATACAGATCTTCACTGAATTTTCGTTCTCGTTCTTCGCTAACAAGGCCACCACACCATAGCCAAGTTGATCTCGTTTTCGAACAGCTAATTCCGAAGAAACCCTTTCTTCACTCAGCCAGATGTCCTCCGAAAGTATACTGTCCATGTGAAGCGAGCGCACTCACCTATTATGCACCTCATAATTTTTGAAAAGCTGCTTCATGAAAAACAACCATCCGCAAACAAAGAATAGAACCTGAAAATTCCGTTTCCCTGTCATGCGACACTGCACAACAAAGACATGCAAGGAAAGAGATCCTACCTGCGAACTTATCATAACTCCCACATCCCACGTATGCATTCTTCGTTCCTAAAATGGTATATCCATGTGGGAAAAACTGTTAAACAAGAAAGGACAGGAGGGCACATCCTATAATATCGCTGGTAATAAATTGTGGATTCTACTAGATTGTGAATTTTTATATTTATGTACACCAGCGTGTGGATACATTCCATTATGCAACATTGATAACATAAAAAGAGAAGAAGATCGACCATAACATCAAAGGCGAAGCCCACAAAAAATGGCAGAAGTAAAAAATTGGTGATATACTAATAAATTAGGGTTAGAGCAACATGACAAAAAAAGATAACGTAAAAATCTGACATGAACAACAAAACCAACTACTTACTGTGAATGGAACATAAGTCACCACGAAGAAGTAAACGGTAGCACCGAATGTATCACTTGAAAAGGAGTTACTCTAATTGAAAAACTTCATCCAACTCATTAGTAATGTTTGTGACTAGTAATGGGAACAGAAGTGCAGTGCTAGAACCCGGTAATGACAGTTCGAAATTTGGAGTTAAGAAAAAACGTGCTTCAAGAAAAAAAGAGGTGATGTAGGCATTATGCGAGATGATGACACCGAAAGTGATGTGGAAAGAGTAAAATCTCAGTTGTACGCAATTAGTTAAAGAGCAGACTACACCAAGGTTGCCCTATGTCCATATTCAGTCAAAATTACATGTTCCCACAATCTCCATGCTGTAATTCTCGCCCCTTGTTTTTTTTCAGTCCTACGACCAAATGCTTTCCCAACCCCTGTGCTTCATCGTGAATGGCGCAGTCTTTACAATTCCGACAGAACACGGTCACTTTGGGTGTTGACTCCACTGGAGAAAGCTTCAAAGTTTGACTACTTATCACGTTCTAGGCATCTAGGCAGTTTTCAGACCTGGCAACGACCCAAATGCTATATTTGGGGGTCAGAGATTAGTCCCATAGGGAAATCACAAGAAGAACTTTATCAAGGACCGCACCTTCAGTAGGGAAAGAAGAAACGGTGAAATCCCTCAGCCACCCTAGACCAGTTGATAATGATCCTGCGACTGTTCTAGGACAGCTTACCGCGACATCCGGATCCACGAAGAAGTTCTCCCTGGAAATGATATTGAGAAGCTACACACTAGCAAAAGATTCACCGTTGGGTAACAAAGAATTTACTGTCAAAGTCTTAAAAATCAAGCTGTCTTGAGCAACAATAAATCCACCACCCTAGGTTTTTTAAACAGCTTGTAAAAAATCAATGGAAAACGCTCAAAGGAGAGTGACATCCATTATAACATGTAATGCCACAAATGTAGTAGCGACCATGACACACACGCTTCACTGCTATGACTATCATCGAATTTATGAGTATGTTGACACCCACTTCTTATGATGCTGAGCTCATTACTATCATTGCTAAAAAAGCAACAGATCCGAGATCCGTTCAAGAATTTTTTGTAACATAAAATCCATTGCTCGGGCTGTGGATTCTTCTATTGTTTTAATGAGAAAGTATTGGAGCGAAAATTCGCCTTGCAGTTTGAGACGGAAGTGAAAGAAAAAGGAGCACCACTTAGTGACTAAGATTTTGAGGCACACTGATTCCAATTCCACATCAGTGGCTCTCCCCACTGAAGCAAGATGGGAAAAAGCAATGAAAAAAAGTGGAAGAAATGACAACAAAATGCATAACAAATTTCAAAAGCGCAAAAATGCAGAGAAGGCAATGCCTGATCAAGTGAATGGCCAAGTGTTAATCCTCTGCAACAAGTGTTTCTTTCAGGAGGCTTCTGCCCGTGCCCTCTAGGAGACCACTGGAGGAACTACTGCTTCCAATTTGCAGCCCTCGTTTTGATGCAGCAAACGTGGCACTGTCAACAGTGACCTCAACCTACAAGATGGCCTCAATCATTAACTGAATTGAGCACTTTATTCAGACACGGATAAATATAAGTAGTACGACACACTCACTTCAGTTTCTTCAGGACTCACATTACACTGAGGACTAGCGCTCCTTGAAGACGCGTTCGATAATACAGGAGTTTCTTCTTGCGGCACAATCTTGACAAAGACTATTTTGTTATGAATTTAACTTATTAGCAAAAAATTTGGTGATTGCCTACATCCTTAGGGATGCTTCTGTACCGCTTCATTTCGATTCCCTCGCTTGTCTCCACAATATGAGCATCATTCTCCATTGTAACAATCTGCAATGAATATGTACTAGAAGAGCAAAAAGTCTACGATTCCTCCTCTTCAAGCTCCTCGCTTTCCTCTGAACATCGCTATGTGTTCATAGAACCAGGCGGATCACCGGCCTAAGGCCGTGCTCTCCTCCCTTTCGTGTTGAGATTGAAATGTATTACTGACGCCTACCATTGCTCCTTTTTCTACTTGAAGAACAATCGTAGCACCCCAACATCGAGTAGTAAAAAAATTTCAACAAAATGTTAAGAAGTCTAATTTTCCTAAAAGGAAGCATTGAAAACAATAATTAAACAACTCAGATGTCTTGTTCGTAATGAATTTGGACACCTTAATGCAATTGGTACGGCCTGGAGCGGTTGGATAGGCGCAGAACTTGCATAGTAAAAGGGTAGCGGTGCGGGTTGGAACTGTGTTAGCGGAGATTGCATAGGTACAGAAGAAGCATAGTAAAAGTGTTGCGGTGCGGATTGGAGCTGCGTTGAAGCTGAAGGGTACCCCGTCAAGATCGAGCACTCCCCCCATCTGTCACAAAACACATAGCGGAGCAACTGAAGAGGTTAATTCAAGGTTGATATGGATGGGATCTCAGGCAAGGTCAAAAGAGCACACATAAGCTTGGAATCCCGTCTACAGGAGCATGACACCGGAATGGGCAACGCCAAGGATCGAACATAATATTTCGATTCTAGAAAAGGTCAAACGCGTGCGGTACTTCATATGAGTATTCCCAAACTAGTTTCCCCAAGGCCTAAAGGCCTAAAGGCCTTGGGAAAACTAGTTTGTGAATTCTCATATGAAGTACCGCACGAGAAAAAATTGTTGAAATGGGCAACGTCCAATGTGTGCTAGACATAAGTGAACTTGCAAAGCTACGTCTATGGTGACCAGAATCTGCAAACAGATTCCTGGCGGCGAAATTCAGACCAAAAATTTATAATTCTGCCAGAGCGCTCTTGTTCTTGGGTTTGTTGTGATGCAAGCAGCGTAGCTCAATAGGTAAGTTATAACTGTAAAGTGTCAAAGCCATAACCGAAGGGGAGAGTTCCGCCGAAAATCCTATCTTTACCTGATCAATGGCGTCACTTGCGCGAGATCTATCTCGAGAGTGACTCTTCCTCGCTATAGAAGCCCCGGACTCATTTGTTACTCCTTGTTCAATGCTTGCATAAGAGTGGTGGTTCAGAGGACCATTTAGACCTTCCACTAATGTTACTGTTTCATACCTGAAATGAAATATCCGACTATATTGTAGGACGTGGATCGGACAGAAACTCACCCAAGATTACGCGTTTGCCTACGTGCACGAAGTTGTATAAGCGCTCGGAAGGGAGAGCGGCAAATCGGGCAATTATTGAGCTGTGAAAGACTAGGGTGTATAAAAGTACTTGTGAGCTTAACTAGTCACAAACCTTGTATCTTAAGGTATCTGCACAATTATTACATATACAGAGGTGACGACATGGTAAAATCACAGTGTCACGAATATCACTCATGCATATGATGCACTCCAGCCCACATTCGTCAGAGTTTCCATCGGGTGTCAACTCTTTGTTTTCTATACCGAACATTTCCTGCCGAATATGTGAAATGAAAGTTGTTACAATTCAACAAAAAGCTCGTTGAATGGTTACTCGTACAAACAAGTACTGCTCACCTGGAGAAGGTAAATAACTCCATCGCAGGCGATTTTCTGTCGTAGCGGTTTCAAAATTAGTGCATGACTGCTATCATTTGCAACCTTAACAAAGCTCGCAGAGACAAGATCACACTAACTTCACCTAGTTTATCTGACGCCTCACATCGACTGTGCACATCGTGCTTTGCATTTGCGGCCTGTCGATACCATCTGTTTGTATAACGACCACGATGGGAAAATACAGTCCACCGGAGTAGGTCAGCTGCAAAAATGCGCTCGAATTCATTGAGTCTGGGATAAACAATTACAACTATATTTCCTACAATATTCAATTCGCTAAGTGTGCCTGTTAGTGTTGTTTGTCGATGTGGGTGCATGACGATGTGTGTGTTTTACCGGAAATCCGTAACTCCCCTCTCCCTAGACTTACAGGGTTCATATTTTCAAGGGACACTTTGTACACGATGGAAACACTAATGGCTCGTGACAGGACATGATAGCAACCTATACGGAGCCTCAGAAAGTAAAAGGCACAGGATCCGTCATCACCTCGTTAATGGTGAAGCTTTGGCACTTTAGTACGTGGTGTGGGTTGTTAACGACCGTAGATATTTGGTGGTAAAAATCTTTCGTCTGTTCCATTGGAAAAGAAAGGATGTCAGAGTTGGATGAAAGAGAATTAGTGGTAAGTGTAGTGATAGGGATCGATTATAGGCACAACATTGTAACACAAGGAGGAGTTGGTTCCGTAGTTTTGTTCCCACAGCCGCTTAGCAGTTTTGTAATAGACTTGAGATCAGCTTCAAATTTATACATGTCACGTTGAAAGGCCACTGCGACCAACTAACCCATCCGTGAAAGAGCGCTCAAACGTGGCGGACTATGTGCTTTAGGATAAGGATGTTAGAGGTTGGTAGTACAATTGCGCTCCACCCAGAAGGGAGGCGTGCGTAAAAACTGCTGCTTTGGACCTAGAGCGCTGAAATTCGGTAGGGGTACGAGGGCAGCACATGGGAACGCTGGTGGTAAAAGGCAGGACTGGGCTCCATCCGCGGTGAGCATAGGAGGTATGGTGAGCATGGAGCGTGCGTAAAATGAGCGTAAACTGAGTAAAAGCACGCAGTTAAGTTGGAATAAGCAAAAAATGAACCATGTTAGTTAAAAGGTAGGGAACAGCTGGGCTGGACTCCACCCGGGAAATTGAGAGGTTGGAGGAGGAGAGCGAAGAGTCTGGGAGGGTCAGAGTATGAGCGTAATTTGAGTAAGGAAAAAAGTGAAGTTAGAATAAGTGGGACATGAGCCGGGCTACATGTAGACACAGGATTTGAGCGGAACTTCGTTCATGGCAGACAGGGAGCGCACGAAATTTGTCGGAGTGCGTGTGATTGACCGAAAACTAATAACTGCTGTTCTGCTGGGAGAACGTCCGTTGCGCGTGTCCGTCGAAAGTAGGTCACCCCGCGCCACCCCAACTGAGGTCTTGAGCTGACATTACAGTACCGCCAAGTGTAAGTGGAGCGAATGATTTGCATTTGTCTGTGATATCTTCCCTTCGGCTGACTGCTGTGGACCAAGCGAAAATCGTATGCCCCGCAGACAACTGCGACGTTTGTCAAAGATCGCGCGCTGGTGCGTCGCATGCGACAGCTGCGGCGTGACCTAGTTTTGACGGACGCGCGCAACGAAGCGCACCCGTTCTTCTGGGGTCCATATGAGATGAATATCGGAAGTGCAGGAAGCAACCCGAGAATTCGTAAACGCACATCAATAGTACAGGATAGAGGCGCTTCTTAGAAATTTCAGAACAGGGCTTTCCAATAGAAAGCCTTTCTGGGGTTCATTAAAGATAGGCGATTGCTGAAGATAGTCAACACGAGGTGCCCGAGTTCACACGAGCTTAGTACGAGGGCTGCCTTTTATATTTTGAGATTTGGCAATACTACTGTAGCAATCTAGCAACTGACACCACTATCGTAAAGTTTGACTATTTTGAGGTTCCGTTGCGAAATTAGAGCGCAATTTGTGTTGTTCACACTAAGTTATAAGGTTTTGTTTAGGCCAAGTTATGGGGTTGAACCGTGAGCATTTTCGCGCCATTATTTTCTACAACTTTCGACGTGGACTAACTCAACAGCAATGCATGGATGAACTTAGTTCAATTTTTCGTGATGAAGCTCCATCCAGGACTAGTGTTTAACGATGGTGCAGTGAGTTCACCCGAGGTCGTAGTTTACTCGAAGACGAATTTCGTGAAGGTCGTCCAAAATCAGTTGTTGTTCCGGAAACCGTTAATACTGTGCACAAACTAATATTGTAAGACCGTCATGTGACCTATCGTGAGATTGGGACAACCTTAGGCATTAGTGGGACCAGCATACATTCAATAATGCATGTACGTTTGACTGTAAAAAAATTGTTTTTGAAAAATTTGCCAATCCTCCAAAAAAGGAACTCGTGTCGATTGATCGAAAGAAATGCTCGAAAAATTCGATCGCGGTGCTTCGAAACACGTCTACGACATCGAGACAGGTGATGGATCACGGATATATGCGTATGAGCCTGAAAGGAAACAGCAGTCGACCGTATGGGTATTTCAAGATGGGCCAAATCCAACAGGAGCTGTCGCGCACCAAGCACTTCGGGGCAATTGATCTCATGTTTTTTCTGGAAAAACTGGACATGTCGCAACCGTATCACTAGAACAAGAAGAACAGTCAATTCTGAGTGGTATACCACCATTTGTTTGCCAGTTGACTTCCAAAAAATCATGAAAACCAACTGCTGAAGACGGATCACTCTTCACCACGACAATGCAAGCTCCCACGCATCGGCTCAAACAACTGCATTTCTGAGCACTCAAAACAACGATTTGACAGGTCATCAGCCATGTAGTCCCCGAGTGACTTCTTCTCATCCCGTACGTACAAAATAAAATGGGAGGTCAACGTTTTTCGACACCTGAAGAAGCCGTTGATGCGCTCAGAATCCATGTTTTAGAGTTACCTACATCAGAGTGGCAAAAGTGCTTCGAGAATTGTTTCGAGCCCATGCAAAAGTATATAGATCTTAATGTAGAGGATTTTGAAAAGCAGTAAACCGATTTTCAATAAATAGTATTTGTTTCTGTTTTCAAATCTCAAAATATAAAAGGCAACCTACGTATTCAACAGAAATGCAAACCGGGAAGCAAGTATCAAGTACACAGGCCCTTGTAACACGTCCGTCAGTTCACCGCTTTTTCAGTTTCTTAACAACCGAAAGATTAGGAGTTGATAGCTGATATAAGAAAGATCGAAATGTAAACCGGGAATTCATCTTAAACTTGCGTACATAAAATCACATTCACAACTTTTTGTACTTTTTTGCAACAGAATTCTTTAGATAAAGACGTGTGGTAAGAAATTTCACCTGAGAATGTGTCCATACGATCATACTACTAAAGGTAAAGATTTCTGCGGGGAGTCCGAAATCAGAGCATTAAGGATAAATATTCATAGAGAGGCCAACCAACTCACGTCTGCTAAGTCCCATTTTGATGGGTCAAAAGTAAAGTTGTTGAATATTTGTTCGGAACCAGTATCGAAATGAAAACGATCCGAACAAGAGACTCGCTTGTTACGGTACGCAAACCTGAAAATAATAGAATCAACTCGTTAACATGTAGTGTTAGTATTAGAAACGAAATTACATTAACGAAAATCACGGAATCACGCACTGAATCTCCCCATCTTGATAAAGCTCTCTGGCATTGAAATGAATTTGAACAAAACAGGAACAATCAGCATCTAATATAAACTCCAAGCGGTAAAAACATGCGTCACTTTGAGAACCATTGCAGCCTTTCATCCTGGAAATAAGCTTACGGACTAAACATTGTCCTACTGAACATTTTACATGATCCATCAACAGAGTAACATCTACCAATTTGATAAAGATGAATGGCATTCTTTACAAACCTCACAAACTTTACCGACTCCTTTCTAATATTAATAAGCAGATGAAGCGGATGCACTTCATCACTTCCAAGAGGTGAAGCGTAAGGAAACTGCAACAATTTTGTCATTTGATGATGATATCAGCACAGAAAATGTGAGACAGAGGTGGGGGGGGGGGGGGGGGGGGGGGGGGGNGGGGGAGGATCCTTATTATATTTAAGTGCTCGCGTCTGCCTGTCTGTCTGTACATCTGTCTGTCTGTTTGCACAGAAATCCGTAACTCCTGTCCCCGTACCTAGAACGTTCAAACCTGGTGGGAGCACAGGCGGCAGGATGAAAACAAATATGATGGGTGGTAGGATTGGACTCCGCCTACAGGGGCGGGTCTTATGCGAAATAAATGTTTTGGCGGAATATCATAACTCCCGTCCCCGGGGCCCCAGAGCTTTCATACTCATTTAGAGTACTAGGCAGGATGGGAACACCTATGGTAGGTGGTAGAAAGACACGTGACATGTGGGATGTGACGGGGTCGAACTGATAACAACTGATAAGTGCTGATAAGTGGCTCCAGAAAGCAAAACCCATCTACGAAAAAGAACCCCGTCGGAGAAATCAGTTCGGTGTCGAAGGTATGTAATTTTGGCTCTTCAGTATGTTTCATCCGGTAGGACGGGATGGTAAAATTAAAACTTCTTGATTACGAAGAGATGAAAGGCTAGTTCATTTACTGCTGCAATATTATGACGCTACCCAGCAAGGTTTGTGACTCAATGAGGGATCGTGTTCCTCTTTGCTTTCATGTTGTTCGCTACAAAACTTATCCAACCTGCGGCTCTCGCCTTCTAAGGTGCTTTATCAGCTCCTTCCAATTGTTATAAAGTCTATCACATATCATCGGTGTTCCCGCCCTGTCTCCTGTGCTCCTACCAAGTTCGAACGCTCTAGGTCCACGGGGACAGGACTTATAAATTTCCGGTCAGACACACACACATACACACACAAACACACCAACACACTTAGCAATTATATATAGTAGCATTCTACATACTAAGGTGCTACTGGGACCTGGAAATCTTATTATTCATTAAGAAGAGTCGTTATAGGAGGTTATTTTCAAATTTTTAATATGCAAACTGTGATTAGCGTTATCCATTTAAAGGCACTGGTGTGGATCGCAAAGCCTTCAAGTCTCCAAGATTCACACCAGTGGCTTCCAAATGACCTAAATTACCGCGTTTAGTTTTTCTTAGCTCTTAGTTATCTCACAAGAAGAAATACTATCCTCAAGAATAGCCGAGAACTGTACGGAAGGGGTCATCTAAAAAAAGACCGACCTAACAAGTGATGCAAACGTTTTGAGAGGAATTAAACCAACCTTATATAAACTACCAAAGCACTTTAGGGGATGTATCAATTTCATGCCCATGCATTAAACTCAACATTGATGGCGTAACGAATTACTCATTGAAAGGATGATATGCGCTATAGTCCAGTAACATACATGGATACAACATACGTGCCAATCTTGAGAATAAGAATGAACGTCTCGACACAAAACTTGAAGCTCACCGGTACTGATCGACTTCCAAGTAAATCTAGATCACTGTTTTCACCAAATAAGAAGGCTTCCGGTTTTGCCAAATCAAAACGGCCACCACACATAAGAAAATGGGATCCAAAATATGATCCTAAATCAATCATAGCGGAATAAATCAAATTCGTATTACAAAAAATTTGCAGAACAATAATTATGAATCGAGAAATTTGCTTGTAGAAAGTACCTGCTGCATTAGCAAAGGTCAGTTGTTGCTCGGGATCTTCATCATCATTAGCACGAAGATTCGCAGGTTGCCTAGTAAACAGCACAGCAAATCTACTTGTAACCTGGCCCATGAATGATTTCTGGAAAAAGATTCATTTAAGAAGCGAACCAAAACATCCGGGAAGGCTACAGTTACGATAAAATCTCGTTTCAGCGGCGTTTACAGCGACAATGAAGGAGGAGGGGAACAGATACGGAAACCTAGTACGGGCACTCGGTCCTCACGAAAAACCAAAAAAATAAATTCAATGGACGCAGAGCATTCATCCTGGGAGTTAAACCATATCAATTATAAAGCCTAACAGACGTGATCTGAATGATGATCATGATGGCATTATAATAATGACGTAGAACGAAGCATTTGGTCCGCGACCATTTCACGTCTATTGCATATTATTTTACGGTAAGATGCTTAAAAACTGCCAAATTTCTTCAGTACGCGTACACTTTACTCTCCTGTGCGGGATTTGTCTAGTATGTTGCGGCGACCACTTACATCCATTGAAATTAAAGCCGACGACGTTGACCATATGGAGAAAGTTCTACTGGAAGCGTACCAAAAAAAGGTCTGTTTTTCGAGCTCTGTTTCTCATTATTTTTATCAAGAAACATGGAAAAGAGGAGGCTGGGATGGAAAACATCACTTCTGATTGCAATCGCGAAAAGATCGTTTGAACCTCCGAGTTGTTCAAAAACTGCTCTGAATGGTCTGCGTGAAATGCACATGGTCTGCAGAAAATGCCTCATACAACCATCGACGACCGCAAATTTTCACAAGCTCCTGTTGTACCACGCGGTATTTTCCATCGCATGTTCTCACAAATAAATTTTCTGTAATAAAGTCGTGAAGGAATAAGAAACGTTCATATCATGTTATATTGTCTAGAGTTTTTAAAATGTGCGCTAAAAATCAGAACATACGAAACGCCCTTGAAAGGCTCTACTGGCTACTTTCAGAGTTCGACGACCGTCCGTCCGTCCGTCCGTCCGTCCGTCCGTTCAGCGCGTGCTGCGACGGCGTCGCTAGAGTAGTGTTGACAGCGCTGGCAAGTGATCCAGTGTGTTGACAACGGTCAGGCGCCGCCGTCGCAGCACGCGTCGAACGGACGGACGGACGGACGGACGGATGAATCGTTGAGGTCTGAAAGCAGCCACTGACCTGAGAGCAAAAATAGAGTAATAATATACAAAAAGATGTCTGGAGACGTCACTGATAAAGCTACATAGTTTTCATATAATGTGATACTCTTGACTTCATACACTGTCTTGTCCTTACTATATAGTTTTAAAATGTGTAGTAATAACAGAATTGATAATAGTAATAATAATAATAATAATAATAATAATAATACTAACAATAATGGTAACAAGATAGTTCCCAATTCATGTAATTAATACCAGTTCTCTGGGACTGCCAGATAGCACACCAGCTAACCAATAAGGAAGGTCACCCCACAGGCGAGTTAGTGGATGGACAAGGAAGGTGCGAAGTAAGTAGATTTGGACCCAAATACCGACTCCCCTCCAGCTCTACTGGATCGGCCCTCCAGGATCTTCTAGCCCAGCTTCCAGTACATTCTGTTTGAGTGTCCTTTCTAGGCTAGGTGCAGCTTCCACCACCGACTCCTCCGTTCCATTCATGTGCTTGGTTTCTTGGGAAGCTCGACGGCTATGAGACCTGCGCTGTGGAGCCAACTTCGCCAGCCAGTACTTTTACTGTAACCCTACAGCGATTGTACCTAACACTCCCTTCGTCTTTACACTCTCTAGAATCTTGGGAGTACGCTATCTGTATGGGCCTTACATTGCTCGGCCTTTCCAGATTTCTTCGCTTTTTCTGCCAACAGTTTACCATTTTTCTACATCAACACTACTGTTTGAATTGAGTTAATAATTTGGTGCTAACGTACTGTTTCTTCAATTCTGTTTTGTTTTGGTTCAATTCCCTTTGGTATTTTTGGTTGTATTTATACGAGTTGATGCATGTAATTTCTATCGGTCCTTCCATATTTCCTTTGCATGGATGTGGGTATTTCGTCATGCCAGTGCGTGATCTGTGCATGATAATCTTTCACCACACTAGCACTCGCTTCACTCGCCCACCTCCGCATTTGAAGGCTACAATGTCGCACAATTTTCACAAGTTCGACGCGGAGGATGAGTTCAGAAAGGTTCTCGACAAGGTCCAGAAGCTGTCTGACGGTTGGCGTCAAGCAGTGGATGGGGATGGTGCATAGCTCTGATCTTAAGTCTGGTTCGCTATTGAGATATCTACAAAAAGTCGGGGGGAAGGATATATGCATGAACTTAATATTTTTCAGCTGACAGTAAAAAAGCCGAAGCAGAAATATTGTTCAAGGCTTCCTCGTTTATTTTAATCTGAGATTCAACTGTTTTTCCCCCCTCATACATATCATTGTTTTCAGGGAGCTACAAAAACACCTGACTCCGATCCGGGTAGCACAACCCGAGATAATTCCGCAAGCGAAGGTAAGATGAGCTTCACAGTAGGATTGGTTTTAAGTTCAAAGCCTTTTTATTAGCTCTGCTGTGTATAGCATTCGTATGTCAAAACTAAGCATTTGTTCTTTATCTGACAAGAAGGATACTTGGTCGGAGTGGTCCCAAAGTGGTGTTTTAGAATGCTGCTGACTTAAAATCAACTCTTCACATCTGACAAGCGATTCTAGGAACAAAATTATGGAATCGTCTTCTCTCTATGTTGCACCACTGGCTCGAAATGATGACCGAACCAAACAGTCTCTTCACTGTGCCGTAGTAGTGCAGTTGGGAAGGCGGGAAACTCAGGCATGGCATTGATGTACATGGCCGTTTTGTTTTTCCATAGAACATGTCCTGGACTTGAGCGAAAGGTTTTTTTGCATCGTATGGACTATATATGTCCTTCACATTTGAAGCGCTCCGAGTGTGCTGATTCAACAAAAACTTCTCTTCGCCAACACCAACTGAATTGCGGTGCCTTCTACCGCGAACACTAAAGTTTGTGTCACGAAATTTTCGGGAGCTCCATGCACTTTCGGCAAAGTACGGTCGAGTGACCCATGAGCCCTGTTGGGTCGAAATATTGCCCTCACTTTCGTGGACCTCAGATCTACTTTCGGCTTGCTCTGGAATTGTCCTCGATGGAGCATTCATGGTGATAAAACGAAGTTGTATTTTATGCACTGTGGAGTGTCTCTTTTTGCCATTCTACCTGCAGCATTAAATACTACTTAGTGTGTATATGTGTGTACCAGTCGGATGTGTGCACCCGGCTAACGTCGGGCTCTCCTCATTCTTGTGTTAAAGCAGACCCGCCGCCTGCACCTTCCAGAGTTTGAAATCTCTGGTTCATAAAAACGGAAGCTGATTTCCAGCAGAACACGCACACACCGACTAACTCCGTGCGTTTTCCCGCTTATTCCAACTTGGCTTCAGGCTTCCACTCGAAGTACGCTTATTTTATCACGCTCATCCCCAACCCTCCATGCATCCGCGAGCTGGATCCACTTCAGTTACCTTCTACTATCTACCATCGGTGTCTTAAATTTACCGCCTGCAATCGTTCCAAATTTGAACGATCCAGGCTTAGCGATTCTCGCGTCATCCCGCCTCCCGTGGGTGGAGTCAAGTCATGACACCTCTCAGCATACCCATACTGCCGCCTTTATTCCTAGAAAATTTGAATGCTTCAGGTCCGAACAGTCAATTCACGCATCCTTCTGTATCTCTAATGACCTTGAACGCTCTAGGTGCACAGGAGTTGCGAGTGTCCACTCAAACCCCTTACATTGAGGGTGGAGTCCAGTTCTGTACTCAGTATAAGTGTCCCCATCATGCTGTCTGTACTCCTACCAAATTTGAATGTTCTAGGTCCGCGGGGACAGGAGTTATGAATTCCCATGCAAACAGATAGACAGGTAGACAGATAGACAGACGAATGGGCGGACGGACGGACAGAAAGACGGACGGACAGACAGACAGACGCGAGCGCTTTTTATATAGTAAGGATTCCTGTGTAAATAATTGGAAACTTATCTAATCTCCAATAATCTGGAAATCAAGAACTGGTGTTTATATTTATGAAGAGAAAAAACTCAATTATGATGGCTTCTGATAATAGTTTTATCGTCGGTTAATAACATCAACAAATACCACTCAAATTTCCGATCGATTGGTCAGCTTTCCCACTTATAGAAACGTCGGCCCATGAGTTCCTTTAGAGTTCGATGTCAAAGTTGGGGTACTCGCCTAGACCTGGACATTCCCTATCGAAAACTTCAAGATCAGGGATACATAAATCACTCAGAAAGATGAATGGCTTGTTGACGATCATGCTGATCCTGTCATTCTATTTACATTGGAACCTCCTCATTCAGTTCACTTCGGGATGTTTCTACAATGCATTATTAGTTCTACGGTTATCAAGCGCCCTCTGAGCAGTGTTGCATACCATTTTATTGCCATTACAAGACCGCTTCCAAAAGTTGATGTACGATGTGAATGGTAATCTCTGATTAATGCTGTCATGTCGTTAGCTCCTTCAGCTAATTGCTTTAAGTCCTCGTCACTCGCTCAAAAAAGCGGGCTTACCTTTCAAGCCGTTATATCTGGCAGGTGAGATGATTGTGTGCGTAAGCAAGCTTAATTGGCGCAAAGAAATGCATATGTGACAGTGTTACTTGCGGCATCGCGAATGGTTTAGGCAAATGTATTTGTATTTATTCTGTCCAGTACTGTTTTTACTTAATTGTAACGACTGGATCGCTCGCTATCTTTTAATCCTAATTTTATGTCCAAATTTCATCTTGTGCAAGGTTGGTGTGCTGCCTCCCTCAGTTCCATCTACTCTTTTCGATAAAACAACTCCAGTCGAGTACTAATGCCGTTGTACAACAGTTTAGCACATGTTAAATTGCGCTGCAGTTCTAGCTAAACCAGTTGCGAGTCTGTGCCCGAAACACGTGAAAAACACCAATACCGTAATGTTTTGATCCATTCTGACCATCCATCCATATATAATTTGCTAAGTAAGTCTATTGCTTTGTCGGTGTGTTTTTGTGTGTATGTGTTGGTGTGTGTGTCGGTGTGTGTGGTGTATGTGTGTGGTCGGTGTATGTTTGTGTGTCTGTATGGGTGTGTGTAAGTGTGTATTGTGTATGTCTGTATATGTGTCAGTGTGTGTGGTTGGTGCGTGTTTGTGTGTGTCGGTGTGTATGTCGGTATGTGTGTCGATGAATGTGTCTGTGTGTGTCAGTGTGTGTGTCGGTGTGTGAGTGGTGTATTTGTGCATCGGTGTGTGTCAATCTGTGTGTGTCGGCGAGTGTTTGTGTAAGTATCGATGTGTGTGTCGGTGTAAGTATCAGTGTGTTTATTGGTGTGTGTGCGTGCGTCGGTGTGTTTTCGGTGTGTGTGTGTGTCGGACCCCGCCTTCAGGGGGAGGGGCGTGCTTAATATAGATTTTTCGCAAGTTCATAACTCCTGTTTACGTTGATCCAAAGCGTTCAAATTTGGTAGGAGTACAGGCGACAAGGCGAGAACACTGATGATGTGTGATAAGAAGTGATAGCAATTGAAAGGAGCTGATATAGCTCTTTAGTAGGCGAGAGCCGCAGAATCCGTTACCTCCTTCGTTTTAACGGTGGAGCCTTGGCACTTCAGTAAGTGGTGTGGATTTAGAAGAGACAGTAGAAGATTAGTGATAGAGATCGATAACATCTGTTAGAGACTGACAACGAGCCATAGAAGGCGAGAGTTATTAGGTCTACACGTCTTTCATGTTAATAGTGAAGCCCTTAGTAGGTGGTTGGGATGTGATAGGACCGAGAGTGATTGCTGACAAGGGCTGATAACAAGCAGGCAAGGGCTGACAAAAAGCCTAGAAGGCTACAGCCACTAGGTTCGTAATTCTCTTCGGGTCAACAATGGAACCTTGGCATTCTCATAGGTCATGCAGGACGTGACGCTGTCGTAAGTACTCTGACAGAAACTGGTAACAGCTGATACAAAACTCAGCACTAAACTTAACCCAATCTGGAATTTTCAACTTATGTTATCTACGTAAAGAAAAGGGTCCGTTGATAACGACACCTGATAATGGTGTTATCATCACTCGAAACACTTGAAAGTAGCGCCCAAGGCGTTGGTTGCCTAACAGTTGGGTCTTTGATTGGAATTTAGTATTAATAAAAAGAGCAGAAGAAAGAGAATTTGAATTCAAGGCGTAAGCACCGACTTACGCCGAACATAATTTGCACTGCCCTGTTAGCCCTGTGCCAAACTTCGTGTACAGGAAAATATTACTTGTTCCAAAGGAGAGGAGAGTGAGGAGGGATAACTTCGTCAAAGGCTGCTTTCATAGTCCGGCGGCCGGCCGGCCGGCCCGCGCCGGTGCGCCGGCTGACGTAAAACGAATTAGTTCGTATGTAAGAAATCTACGTCTGTTGCATTTTCTTTCACGGTCAGAACCCGTCAGAACCGTGACATAAAATGCAACAGACGTAGATTTCTTGCATACGAACTGATTCGTTTCACGCCAGCCTGCGGACTATGAAAGCAGCCAAAGGAGAAGGGAAGCCCGGCGGGCAAACCGATGGTGCGGTAATAAGATTATTAAAGTGCTGTTTTTGCTATAACTATTTTCGAAAATTTGCAGGTAGGCTTTCATCTCCCACAGAAGCCTTTTCTTCGTCAATGGACACATCCGCCAACCAAACTTTACCAACGGTTTTGTCTCCGGGAAATGGTTTCGGATCCGTTGTATCATCTTAGCAATTCTTCCCTCTGTGATTCGTTGTCATAATATATCATACAAAGTTCCTGACACTGTGCAAACTTGTTGAGGTTGTTTGGATGATTTCTTAAAGATGTCTGAAAAATGCTGTAATAAACGTTGTTGTTGAGATGATAAATAAATATTCACTTTGCTTCGGTCTTCCCGCGGTTATAAAGCTCAAGTTATGTTAGCTTTATATTTTCAATTTGTATTTGCATCGGTTTTTACGAACTAGACCAAATAGCTTATGTCCATTGTTTTGCGTCAGCGATGGAGAAACACGGATATCAACAGCCTAGAGCCCGGAGCAAGAAAACTACCTTGAGCGATAAGGGGGATGATGTTGTCAAGGAGACAACTAGTACAGGTCATGCATGTTCTCGCTCGTCTGATTTATGGGTTTGCCTTCTGAACTACATACCATAACATTCAGGAAAGCCGAATGAAAAAAAATCGCGGCGTCGCATAACTCCAAGAAACGATGGTAAGCTGAAATCGTGGAGATTGATCATAAGAAACCTTTCTTTCAAGGTTGGTTTTTCTACTTTTTTGAATAACTGACAGCTAGGGCGGAGAAAAGGAAGAGGAGCCGAGCCCATAATGGCCGCTTACGAACGTATCGCAGCTTTTGGATGTTGCAAATATGTTTTTTTACATCCGAGCCCTTGGCACATCTCAGCTTTTTGCACGAGATAATCGTCTCACCCACCTAACCCGGAGCTCCTCTCATTTTAGAAGTCACGTAGAAACAATATCCTTTTGGCTAAAAACCACCTTTAACCACAAGTAAAGTGTGGTGGCGAGCACCCGACGACCAGAGCATTCAAAAACTACTTGACAGCTTCTTTTCTAGGTTCTGTGAGTGTGTGGATCACTGATGTATATTTGTTTTAGTGAACGTTTTCATCAGAACTGTTATTTTTAGACAACACGCGAAGACCTGCAGAACGTTTGTTCAAACTTCGGATCGTTTACCGATATCGTTCTGCCGGCATCCAAGAAGATACCCGGGCGGACCGCTGGCTTCGCATTCGTGCAGTTCAAAACGCGGGAATCCGCCGAGAAAGCTTACGAGTTCTTCAACAGTAGGAAGTTTGAAGTGAGCGTATAATTGATGGAAGATTTTTGTAACTCACAGTTTTTTTTCATACGTAGGAAGAGCACTTCACAATACTGCTCGTCCCTGAAGGCCTGCTTTAGGCTTTGTATTGATCATTGGGCGTTAGACCTCAAGCATCGACTCGCGAAACGCTATGCTCGGATGATGCGCCTGATTTGTACTCGAATTCTGGTCGTTATTGTAGAATTGGACGGTTTTTATGCACTCTCACGAGCCGTTCCTTTTTGCACCTTTTCTTTGAATGTTCCACGCTCCGTTTAGTCACTGTGGTGAAATGAAAACCTGACTATATTTCTAGATGTAAAAGAAGTTTAAAATATGAAAACTGGATAACTGAATAGTAAAAAGAGGCATTTTGTGAAATGCCGTGCCCCTCCCCCTGACTTGGAGGCAATCAATATGAAGACCGTACTCAGTTGAAAACCTCACGAATGGTATTTACTTGCGACCCTGGGTTTTGTATGCTTTTTTAAAGCTAGATACAGGTGTTGTTTATCAGCAGGTAAACTCACCTCGCCTTACTTTTTTTTAGCGAGCATTTTACAAAACGTTGTGTGGGTTAGCTTTTCTTATTCAGGGCAGACTGGTTGCGGCAGATTGGGCTTTGCCGAAAGATACTTACGAAACAGCTGTACGGGAAGGTATAGATAGGTCATTAGATTATTATGCTTCAACTCGTTTCGAAGACCACTGTCAACAACTGTTATCCTTATTGTTTCAGAACGTGAGAAGCTAAAGAAGAAGGTGAAGTTGGAGGAACCGGGCGATCCAAAAGAAGAAAATTCACAAAGTTCAAAGTAAGCCAGTATCGCATGAAATTTCATCGAATTGAGTCTTAATTACTGTCCTTCACAAGAACTTTTTCAAACTTTCAGACTTTCGGAGACACCTTTTCAGCCTACAGTTAGCAAACAAAGGAGCGATGCAGAGGAAGAAGATAATATGAGGTTAAGGTTAAATGTCTCTTCTTTCCGCTCAGAAAGACCGAGTAGATTATTTTCAGTGATGGCGACATAACTGACAACAGTAGTCACGAAGATAGTATAGAAGGGGAAGATGCGAGAATGGACATAATGGAAGAAGACGGTGATAACCTTGACGATGGTCGCGAAATAAAAAGAAAGGATCCGGCAGTTGATGAGAAACGTGTAGTTTTCCTGAGGTGATAGTATCGCACCGTTTTTCACTTATTGCCCCGATCGATTAATTTCAGAAATCTCTCTTTTGCCACTACAAACGAGACGCTGAAGAAAGAAATGGAGAAGTTTGGGGAAGTAAAGCTTGCCATCTGTTGTAAATTTCGTGAAAGTGGACACTCCAGAGGTTATAATACTCGTTTATAATATAACTAGTCGGGTCGCCTGGATTACACCGGGCCTTATTTCTTACTTTTACAAAGAAGTTAGAAAATGTAATTGCATGGGAGGCATCTCTTTTATTTAACGCTGAGGCCTTGAGTGCAAGGAAGGCTGGGTAGCCGAACTCACCTGTGCTCCGAGTCAGTCTAAGCGAAAGGATACAGTTTTTACCTGAGCCTCAGGAGGAGAGGAGCGGTGGGGTTGGGTTGAGATGACTGGCTCGTGCAAAAAGCTAGGTTGCGGTATGATTTGAATATTCGACTGTCTCACCCACGCCGGTGCTCTTTTCTTCCTGAAGCTTAGTTTCTATGGAAAATTATGCGCCTGGTCTGGAAAATAGGTCAAATTCCGAAGGTATTTTCGGTAAAATCCACGGAGCAAAAAGTTTTTTGCCCACGAAGACTAACCCCTTCTCCCCTAAGTTGGTTGCGAACGGATAGATGAATCATCCACTCAAATAAATATAGAGAAGTGATGAAAAGAAATTACGATAGGGACAAAAAGGAAAAATCATTCAAGGTTGGATAAGAGGTATTTATAGGTTCTGAAGTAGGAGACAGGTGGGATTGTGATGAAGTCTTGGGCCTGAGCACCTATGAAGTGCACTTATCGCATTTGGGTTCATAAAACCCAGACAGATCAGATGAAGCTGAGGATGATTAATTAGGAATTTTTAGTTGATGATTAGTAAGAAAGATTAGGAGATTAGATTAGACTTTGCCTGTGATCCTGTTTTCGGAATCCCAGCCGTCGACAGCGATGTCAGCGCCGCCGGTGACGGGGTGGCCGGCAGTGGTGCCGCAGCAGCAGAGAGGAATGCGACGGCGCTCGCAGCGGAACACGCCGCTGTGGGTGGCCGTTTGGAAGCTGTCGCAGGCCATACTGACCATCAAAGTGAAGGTAGCGGCCGCCGAAGTATGACAAGAAGCAGGGACCCGTACGAGCAACGTCGAAGCAGCCGTGCGAAGTATAGGAGTGGTAGCCGTCGTCGCGTGGTGAGTAGAAGCAGGAGCAGAAGCGTTAGCGACAGCCGTTCACGGAGAGAGCGAAGCAACAAGAGTGCGGTGGCGCACACGCTCAATGTAATGACGGTGGACTTTGATCGGTTAATAAATAATGTATTAACTGTTCCGTTGTGTAGCCAGAACTATAGACAAGTTAGCCTCCCTTGTTGAGTGACCGTAGGGTCACTAGGAGTGGCTCACATACAGTTGTTGGCTTACCATAGCTGCCTGCGGGGAAACTCGATTTCGCCTGCGTAGTGAGTAAGATATTACAAACTTCTCAAAAAAGTTTGAATTCTCGCGATCCATTTTTCCGCAATTTCCCTATTTCGAAGAACTGCTCAGTATGAAGAAGGTAATACTGCTAGTATCTCTCTATATATAATCCACAAGTTTGGTGTGTCTGTTTGTTTGTATGTATGTATGTATGTATGTATGTATGTATGTATGTA